TTCTCAGTTAATATGAAACAATGAAAATTAGAATAAGAATTTTATGTACATCAGTAGATACAACATTTTTCTCGTTAATACATATTTTTTCTTAAGAATGGTCTTGCAATCTTCCCCCTTTACGCATCTATGTTATATATGCTATGTAGTATTTCGCCATTCTATTTTGGTTAAGTGAAAGAATGTCGAATACCGCTTTAATATAGTAAATTGAAATTTGTTATTTACATATAAATTAGCCTTAAGCAGTTGCAAATCAACAAGGATAAGTCATAATATACATCGAATTCATTCATAGTCAAGTACCTTTTACCCACAAGTTTACGCACATAACACGTACATATGCCAAAATATGCTGAGGGCATAAAATTTCTTATTATGAATTTTTCCCAATTTTTCCCCATTTTTGCAGTTTTTATTTTTACATACGCCGCTGGCCAACTACTAATAAAATAAACTGCACGATTTAGAAAATAGAAATTTTTTTTACTCCTTGAAAGTCTTTATTTTTTTGTACTTTTTTTTAAAATTATTTTTATTTTATTCCTTAGTGTATAAAAAAATTGTAAGTGAAAAATTTAATAGCCTTCCAGTGAGAATATCTCTATATAATATTATTATACATATATGCATAAAATAAGTGTATATTATAACTGCTTGCATTCAGGGTAAAGAAGCAAATAAACCAAGAAATAATAGAGTATCATTGCTTCCATCAAACTTGATAATAGAATAATAGATGAATAATGGAATAGAGTAATAACTCTCTATATTTACGTATAAGTTATGAGTTGACAACTTGATTAGATTAAGTCACATGTGACAGTAAATCCAGCTGACCAACTCAGTTAGCTCTTACAGATCCATTGCAATACCTATTCATCATCATTGCTTCCATCAAATTTGATAATAGAATACATCATCATTGCTTCCATCAAACTTAATAATAGAATAATAGATGAATCATAGAATAGAGTTGTGACTTTCTATATTTATGTAAAAGTTATGAATTGTTAGATTGGGTTACTATGGCAGTAAATCCAGCTGACCAACTCAGTTAGCTCTTACAGATCGATTGCAATACATACACCTATTCATCATCATTGCTTCTATCAAACTTAATAATAGAATAGAGTTGTGACTTTCTATATTTATGGTATGTAAAGGTTATGAGTTGACAACTAAGTTAGATTGGGTTACTATGACAGTAAGTCCAACTGACAAACGCAGTTAGTCCTTACAGATCCATTGCGATACCTTCACCCATTCATTCATAATCCACTTATAAGAAGAGACCTTTAATTTTTGTTAATTAGGGAATAATTTTGAGGCTGTAATAAAGCCTCAAAATAAACAAGAAAAATAAAAAAAAAGTTTATATGATCGTTCGATTTTTAAACTAAAGATGTTTCTGTATATATTTTAAAATATATGCTGACGACTCAATTTTTTCCATAATTGAGAAAAGTTGTAAATTCGAAAAAGTAAGAGGACAAATAACAAATAACTTACCTATAGTCAAGATTTTTTTTTTAATTAGTATATATTTTTGGCAGATTCATGCAAAAATTTTCCAAAAATTTGCAAATTATTTTTAGAATATTTTTCCACACCAGTGAGGGTGACTATTAGAAACAAAAAATTTTCTTTTCATAACCCAGTGTCACAGCTCCAATCAGACAAACGAAAACTATCTATCTTTCATTTTCATTATGTATATTCTACTCTTTAAAAGTAGATATCAGCTACTTTTTGAAAACTGTGCTTTAATAGTCTTCTATAGCTAGCGAAAGCTAACATTAAAGATCTGCTAAGCTTTTTAAACCGCACTGAATCGATTTAATTAAGTTATCTACAAACAACCAATTCAACAGTTGACAATGAGACCACGTTATGCAGATAATCATATAATAAATGGTTATGTCAACTTTATGATTGTTCTGGTAGTGACCATAAAAGCATGTTATGCTGACAATCAAATCTCAAGTGTCATTTGCATATGTTTCCATATGTTTTTTCACTGTTTTGATACGATATTATATACATAAATACATGAACTTATGTATGTATATATAAATTTACTTCAAAAATGTGTAAATAATACTAATATTTACTCATATTATTGATGTTTTCGATTGGTAAATTTGAATTCAATCTAGATTTACTCTCGATCTGTCAAATTTTGTTGCTCAATCAAACATTTTTAGAGTAATTTAACATTTTTGTAGTAGTCTTAGTATAAATTTATTTATTTTATAAATACATTCATCGAATCAAGTCACACTTTGACTTATAAAATAATAACTTCAACGTTCGACATATAAAACAGATGTTAATTTCAAGTTAATCATGCTACTTATAGGGTAAGGCCCTATAATCCACTTAGGATAGAAAGACAGCAGTAAGTAAGTGGGTACGCTACTCTGAGAAGATATCTAGAGTATTATTAATTAATCTCTAGTATTATGAAAATTGTTTCCAGAGCAACTCGATTGCAAGAATTACACCAGATTTACCAATCGAAGACGCTATTAGTAAGTAACACTGTTGTGACTAACGTGAGGTGGTATAGAAAATTTAGTTACCATGACCAAAGTTCAATCGAATTTTTATGTTTCTTTCAATGTCAAATTTTCAATATTCATTGAAAAAAGCAATCATGTCACATATGATTTGAACATGACTATCTCTATAGTCATAACCCTTACTCATATACTTTTTACACAAAATGTAGAATTAATTTATTTTTTCTATATTATTTTCTATCAAAGCTATTATAGTACAAATACATTTTTCACAAATTATGTCTATTTCATTATATTCATTTTATTTGTATGGTTTTAGGGTAACAATTTGGAGAACAACATCGCTGAAGGCATCATTGTGGCCAACCAAAGTCTTGTACTACAAAATGCTAGCCGGGCACGTAGTGGGATTTATACATGCATTGGAAGCAATCGGGAAGGTGACGGTGAGAGTAATCCGGTGCATTTGGACATAAAATGTAAGTGAATATAGTGAAACTATTTTATATAAATTTATTTCAAAAAAAATTAATATTATTTTATTTTAAGAATATTAAAAAATATTTTTCAAATAATATTTATGTTATTATAAAACTAACAATGCTATTAAATAATAAATATTATATACACATAGAGCAAATTCAGTCCAATTTCACTATTTTTCAATTTCATTTAAATCACAAATAAATGTGGTTAAATCAGATATAAAATTCTTTTGTGATTATTATGTAGAAATGTTTGTTGCAGTCTTAATTAAACATACGTACCTACACCGATTGCATTGTAACTATGCATTCACAGAATATTTGTCAAAATAAACCAAATAATTGGTCGAATGTAATGGTATATATTCCTTTGGAATGCCAACATATTATGGACATGGAATGTCCAAGTCATTGTTGAGAGCCAAAGCCCTCTTAAACTCGGAGACTCGGAAACTTAATGAAAATGTTATTAGTACTTTTGAATGATTTTCATACTTTATAAATTCTTTGAGTTACTGTCGTTTCTGACACCTACACAAAAATCACAAAAATTTATTTATTAAAATACTGGACAAATCAAGAGTATTTTAAAATTTCATTTAATATTCAAATCATAAAAAGTTGGTTTTATTTTTCATTACACATTTTCTAAAAACATCACTGTCATACATACCTCAAAGACAATAAATTGTTTACGCAATTTTAAAAATTAATTAAAATAATTTTCACTTCCCAGGTGGAAATGGTGCAAAGTAACTTACTTCAAAGTTTATTATTTAAATGAATACTTACTGAAGCTATAGAGAACAATTATTATTTTAATAAAAATATATCAAATACTTGAAAAAGAACAAAAGTTATATGTGGCATTTACTATAAGTCGGATACCACTATAGTCCGATCACTGATTAATCTTCTGAGCGGAATGAACTTTAAACAATTCCCTTCAAATTCAAGAAAACATTGAGTATTTTTATGATTTTACTCTTCTAAAAGAATAATTTTATCTCTTTTGGTTACTTACATGCTGCCCTTTAATATATTTTAATCGAAACATATAGGAAATGTCACGTTACATTTCTTTCCAGTTATAATGTCTAACATACTTGACGAAATCCTACATACATATTAAAAATATATATATTTGCAAAGCTGGCTTTGACAGTCTTTTTCGTCTTCTGTCAGAATATGTGGCACAAAGTACAGAAAGACCTTTCGTTGGTCCAAATTCTCCATAGAAATTTGATATATCTTCTGCTCAAAAACTACTCGGATTTGTGTGTAAATAAAACACACAAATTTAAATTTTATTCCAAATTTATTTTATCTCCTTCAAAATATACTCCTTCTGAAGCGATACCAATTAGGCAACGTAGCGATCAATATTAGTGGTCTGGTTTTTTTGAAGGAATTCGATGAACAAAGTTTCATGTGCGTTCCAAAATGTGGACCCCATAACCTTGCCAACTGTCTGTTGGGTTTAATTATGTTACATTCATGTTATATTTGTTATTAGTAATATAAAGTTATTATTATATTTATTATTAATAATATTGTATATTATTATGTTTATTATTTATATTACATTGAATTTTAACGTCTGTTTTGACGAAAGAAACTAAATTCTTAATATAAAGTTTAATATAATTATTTTCAATAGAAAAGTATTTCTTAAAGTATTAAATTACATGCAAAAAAAAATTATTAGTTTTATTAATTTTTTAATTAATTAAAGTAAATGAAAGTTATAGTCTATATAGTTTATGTATGGAATTTAAATTTGGCAGGGCACGAATTTAACGCTTGTTACTTGCAGTCTCAAAAAATTATTTACGAATAATTAAATATAATAAATAATTCTAAAACCACTAACGATTGCTATTTGGCAGTACTCGAAGCAGTTGTATAGTCAGCCAAATATTCATTTTAATAATAGAAATAATAAAATTTCTTATTTATATTATATAAATATATATAATAAAGCTCTCTTACTCAAAACAATATTTCAATTTCAGTTAAATCATTATGAAATTGTTTTTCGTTTCAAGTCTTCAGCAAATAATTTATGTATCTACACAATAAAGTTTTTAAATTTAATATTCCAAATTTTTATGTATTTACTCCTATTCATTTATAACAAAATTACAAAATTAAATAAACTAGTATAATAGTATGTGCAAATTTATTTTCACAATTTTTCACGTTTTATTAAAAATATTTCGCCATAGAAATGGAATTCAGAAAAACAATTAAAAACAATTAAATAGAATAACTTTAACATTATATGAAATCATATTTTTTCAGGCAATTCAATTTTTTAACAATTTTAATTGCGAAATTATTAATTATACTTTGCCATTCAATCGCCAATAATGTGACTATAAATGAATTTTCCGATAAAGTTAAATTGAAAATCCTAAAATGGAAATCAGATAAGCCGGAGAGCAGTTCATATATTGGCTACAAAGCAAAGAATGCATTAAAGCGATTGAATTACATTTTAAGCTTTTTAAACTGAAGTCAATATTTTGTTTTAATTATGCAAATTAAATAACAACAAAAACATAACTTCATACTTCAGTCCAAACATTCCAACACTTACACACACACGTACTTCCATATCCATTCAATCACTCATACTTGCCTTTCTTTATTGTAGTTGCACCACTCTGTCGCGCGGGCCAACGCACCACCTACAGTTCGGGACGTCATGAAACCGTTAAGGTTGCCTGTGAAATTGAAGCAAATCCAACGGAAGCAAGTTACATCTGGAAATTCAATGCGTCACTTGGCGAAACCATTGACATACCGGCATCACTTATAGCTGTCGACCGTGGACGTAGCATAGCACACTACACGCCTATGACGGAAAACGTAAGTGTGGCAGCACCGTGCAGAACACGTTACGAGTGTCACTGCATAAATTATGACATGCATGAGTGTTGACTGAACATACACAATGTCGGCTAGCTCAAGTTCGATATACCGAAGAAGACTGAGCAATGTCCATATATGTTTATATGTTTGTTCAAGTTGTGTAAGTTGTGATAAATCATCAATTTTTCAATAGACGCGCATAATTTTCCGAACGAATTGTGGTTTTGAATTTTTATGAAGTTTGAAGTACCCATACATTTACGCAAACATAGAAACATGTACGCACACATGCATGCATAAATTATCCACTCAGTATGGGATCTGGGAGCCATTGAATTTGCATTGGTGCTTTGGTACTTAAATATCTTTTCTTGTAGGATTATGGAACTTTATTGTGCTGGGCAAGCAATGAAATTGGTGACCAGAGCGAACCGTGCGTTTATACAATTACACCGGCAGGTGAGTTAAATTGACTATTATGTCCTTTGCGCATTGGGATTCATTGAACGACATATCGGCAGTTCGATACACCGTATGAATATGCTAATAAGGCCGTACGTGTTAGAGTTCTGAAATCTGTAAGAAGCGTAAAATGAGCTAATCTATTCTTCGTCAACATTTGTCATACCATTTATACTGAAAGTGGTCGGTATCTTAAAATGGCCAGAATGTTTTGAAATGATTTGAACGCACCAGGGGAAATTGTTGTTCAACTATATTTGTAATTTGATTATTAAATTAGCAAGATTTGATGGAACATATAATTGAAACTATCAAATAGAAAAATTATAAACAAAATTAAATATTAATTATAAATCATAAATTTATCAGGTTTAAGATACTAAGACAGTATTTAAAGATATGAGCTTTCTAACTATGCACGTTTTTTGGCATAAACTTGAATAGTGTAGTAATTATGGAAGGTAAACCTAAATAAGTTAAGAAATTATTAATAGTATTAATTAAAGTCCTCGGATATGATAATTACCTTTACCTAAAATAATTTACCTTTACGGTTACGTTATTACGTTCAATAATTTTGCAGCTTTTTTATATTAGAATTTATTTAGAATTTAGAATGACTTTACTTAAATTATTAATGTGTTCACAGGACAAACATAAAACCTTTGTCACAAAAATCATTTACTTTAAATAAAACATATAACATATTTGAAATCTCTATTTTTTAAAAGAAAACGGAATTATTAACAAACTATTACTTTCTGAAAGTGTTTTCGATTACTAAATCTCGATTCAATATAGATTTACTTTCGATTTGTCACATTTTATTGTCTAATCGAACATTTATAGAGTAATCAAACATTTTTGTAGTAGTGTTAGTAGACATTTATATATTTTACACATACATATATCAAATCAAATCACACTTTATTTGTCAAGTCATACAAAACAGCTGTTAATTTCAGAGTAATCTTGATACTCTGGCAAAATATCTAGAGTGTTATATATTAATCTAGATTGTTAATCATTTCGCTCGAGACTTACCAATCGAAAAAGTAAACTGTAATGAATGTGAATCTCAATTGAAAAATTTAGCCGATTTTTCAAACCAAAAACGGCATTAGTTAGTGAGCCCTATATAGAGTCCAATAATAGAGTTCTTGGATTAAATCCTTAAGTGTGTATGCGTCATGCTCACCTTTTCCGGACTCATACATAAAATTCATTTAAGCGCCCTATCAACTTAATGACAGGAATATGTAGTCTTTCTCTTCTTCTTGTCTTTGTTCTTAACTTTGACTTTAACTATATATTTTACTAAGGCATAATTAACTTCATAAATAAACCAGCAAAATTACTGGATGCTAACCGGGCAAACGATATCAATGATATCAGTTATTTGTTATCAGCTATTGTCTGAAGCATATTCCTACTGGATACTGCATAGCAATGACAAAGTAAATGACGTTCACAAGCAAATGTAGGTCACTAAGTTAAGTATGTTACCAGAACTTTATGGTAACATTAACTGTTTCAAAGAGACAACTATTTTAAATTACGAACTACGTTGTCAGTTTGATAGAAAAAGAGTGATATTCTTAATTTTTATATCTACAAATCGGACAGGCACTTGTGGAATAGAATACCTAGAGTGAAGAAATGTATTCTGAAAACCACTGGGTAGTGACAGAGCCAATAAATGAGACTTTTCTCACTTATCTCTGAATTGCAACTAACATTTAACCTATCAGCATTTCTCCTTATAATTCAGTAAACCATCAATGTGACCATTCTATTGGATAGTGTGAAGCGAGTAAGACTTAGTTGCGCTTTTCTTTTCGGATTGCAGTTTCTCTATATATTCGTGTAGTTTGGCATTAATGCCTTTTAATTCATCTTTAGACCACATTTTGGATTATGTGGATCTCTACATACACACTGTAGAACTAATTCAACTAAAAATGATGCCTACATCTATAATATTATATACGTACTTATAAGACGTGGCGTTGGTTATTATAGAAACTATACTACATAATACCACATATAATAAGAACGATGAGACAAATTGCTCAATTAACCGATATCTATTTATAAATTTATCTATATGAAACTATTAGTAAATTATTCTTATGGATTTAAGGTTAATTCACTGACGCAGATGCATTTTATCAATTCAAGTCGATCAAATTAAACAAAGATTGAATTTGGTTGAATTTATTATGAAAAGTTCACATAAGATGCTACTAAAAATAAATGTATTTCAGCATACAGCATTTAATTCAATATATTAATAAAATACACAAAATTTATTTTCCAAATATAATTGTAGTTCATTCAATAGATACTTCCTCACATGCATACGAAACACAATACTATAAATAGTAATGTGTTGTAACACTAATAGTTTTTCTTTTATCACATACTATCTGGGGATATATCACAATCTGAATATTTTGATGCCACGCTTCGAATTTTTTCTTCTTAAAATATCTTACCATCAAAGGAATGGGTTGTTGTCCTCCGCTTCACAATATCTAAGGCACGACTAGTTCGCACTGCAATCGAAAAACACATCAACATCCGGATATTTCGATATCGCATTTTGAACTAATTCTTTTTCATGTAACTCTAAAAAAAATAAATCCCGGATAACTTGTTACCCATCTCTTAACCACTCCTGCACAGCCTACAAGTTTTCTTCCCACAATCCAGAAACGCCATCAACTTCCAAATACCTTGTGCATCACCCTTTGAACTGGTTCTTCTTCACATATTTTATAACTAGATGAATATGTCTGAATGGACTATTTCCCCTTCGCTTCTCAATTCCAGAACCAGCATGTAGATTGTGGGAAAAGTTTTTCGGCATTAATTCTTCAATTTAACGGCTGAGATGCGGCGTGGTGCTCCTGAATAGAGCATACCTCCCAACGGAATGTTGATCGAGGATAAGACCATAAATTTTTTTTGTTCAGCAACAATTTTATTTTGTAAATTGAATAACACAGTTGGCTTATTTATGACAGTGTGAACCTTTCTGCATCTATTTTTTTTCGTTACGACGCACACATAGTCAGGCGGACCATATTCTCCACGATTCAAATTTAGTAATGCAATCATTTTTACCAAGAAGAAAATTTTGTGAACCAAATTTGTGGTCAATAATAAATATATGAATTTTGTAAACTTTATGTTTCTAAATTTTGATTCATTACTTACATTTTTTTTTTCTGAAATTAAAATATTTAGTCTACTAAGGTTTATGGAAAAAGTTAATGTATATATATACATTTTAATATATGGGTTAACTAAGTTTAAAATTAATATTTTTAAGAATTTTTAACAATTTTGATTTACAATGGAATTTTTATTTGAAATTAAGAACGTACCTATTCTTCTATGTACTACAAACACTGAGCCGCTCTTGATAAGAACATACGATGAAAACAAAGTCTCTCAATTCGAATTCACTAAAACTCTTATATTGAATCTGTTCTTACGATCCCATCTGCTAATGTTCAATATGAATTGATTACAATCTAATATTATACGGCTTAGGTTAGGTTAGTAATAACGAGGAATCGAGTAATAACAGTTGATGAAACATAGATCCATTACTTCATACCTAAGGGAAAACAATAAGCCAAAGAATGGGTAGAACCTGGAGGTAGTGTTCCCAAACGTCCACGAACTCAACAGTCGGCGGGAAAAGTTTTGGCTTCCGTATCTTGGGATTCAAGTGGAATCATTTCCATAGACTATTTGGAAAAATGAAAAACAATAACATCAGACTACTATTGCATATTATTGGATGAATTGAATGAGAAAATCAAGAAAACAGCAACACATTTGTCGAAGAAAAAATTTTGTTTTCGCAGGATAACACACACTTAACACACGTCAACGAAAACCAAGCCAAAATTAAATAAATTACGAAACAAAATACTTTCTCACCCACTAGATTTCTCCAGATTTGTATCCCAATGACTATTACTTGTTTCCACACTTGAAAAGATGACTTCAGCGAAAGAGATTTTGAAGTGGAATGGGAAACTGGAATACATTTTGGAAGATTTTTAATAAATCGTATTATTTAAAAAATATACAAATGTTGAAAGATTATTGGACTATATTGAAGCATAAAATACGATTTTTCAAAATAAAATGTGTTTTTAATACTTAGGCCAGGTATTTATCAATACACCTAGTATGATCCAGATTGATTATAATAATAATGCAATAATAATAATAATAATTTATTAATCCACCTAGTATTATCCAGTTCGCTCTTAATAATAATTCTTGTCTATTCCTACTACATCTGTAGATATGCAGTAGGAAATTATACGATATTTAATTAATGTACTAGTATTAAGTTTTGTGTATAATGAAGAATTCTTTTTTTAACTTAAACTATACATAATTTCCATTACTTAAAAAATTTCATCAATTTGTAATATTTAATAAATATTATTTATAAACATTTATTAAATTTCAAATTTCCAAAATAAACACATGTGAGAAATATTCAATATCCTCATATTTACTCTACTAAACAAACATGAAGAGTCTACTCGACATCCGAAATTTATATAAAAAAAAATCATTACTTTGAACTATTTATTTGGGTGGGAGTACATTAGCATACATTTAAGCATTTAACAATCTGATTTCATGAATGAAATTTTGTGAAAATAGAAATTACTTAAAATTGACCACTTGACAGGCGAACCGGATCCTTTGGTTAACTGCACATTACTCAATCAAACATCGACTGGTTTTCAAATTGAATGCATTGAGGGTTTCGATGGTGGCCTGATGCAAGACTTTATAATGGAAGTTTACGTAAATGGCACAACGCGTCATCCCAAAATTTACAAATCAAAGTGAGTACGAAATTGTGTGGCTGCTCTGCACTCAACGCTTTCAACAATCTGAATCTGAATACTGAAACTGATTTGTGGATTTTTGTGTATTTTTTCTATTTCTATTTCCGTTTCATGAAAATATTTTAAAATAGAACGCCATACTTTGAAGTACGTGGTTTAGTGCCAGGCGTCGGATACAATGTCTTTTTGATTGCACACAATAGCAAAGGACGAAGCAATGCCACAATTTTGCAAGTCTACACACTCAAGGATCCTGAAAAGCAAACAGGTAAACCAAAAAAAAAAAATTAAAAAAAGATAAATCAAAGCAAATAGTAGAGAAAAAGATATCCTCTTTGGTAGCAGCTAAATTAAAAGAATATATTAACATTATTTATATTTAGTTAGAATAAATACTAAAAAATAAAAAATTTTTATTTTATTAATGTTATATAATATTTTTATAATATTAATATAATTTTTTTTATATATATTTTCTTCAGTGATTTTATTTTACATTGAAATTAAGGCATGTTTTGAATAAGTTTTAAATATAATTTTTGCTAATATTTTAACATAAAGTTTTTTCACATTTTATTTTTATTAAAATAAATTTCAGTTATTATAACATATAAAAAAAGCTATCAACCAATTTTGTTTCAAAATGAGTTTACAACAGTTTTTCCAATACCAATTGCAACTTTTACTAATAAATCAACCGATAACAGTAAGAATAATAACAGTTTTTAACTATAAAAGTTCATCCCAGCCATACAAGAGTTCATGACTCTATCGAAAAAAAAGAAATCACATTTTATTTTCCAGCATAAAAAATCCTGCAAAAAAATTCAATTTTTATTTGAAAAAGTTTAAATGTCGAAATTTTTTCTCTTTTTTACTTTTATTTTAAATACAACATAGACCATTCACTCGCTTATGCACCCGTCATAGAGGATATCCGGCCATTTTTGGGCATATTGGTTGGCATAGTTGGCAGCATTTTTCTTGTTGCGCTTATAATTGTGATAATTGTGCGTGTACGAGGCTCATCTGGCCGTGATCGCAATAATTACTCCCAGCATTCTGGCGGCGGACGAAATAACAATGGTAGCGCCGGTATGGGTACATTACAAAATGGTCAATCAATACAGGATATGCGCAACGGAAGAGAAACCTGTCATGTTACCAGCAGTTTAGATAGCATTGATAAAAATCCAGATATCATACCACAGGGTAAGTTTCATTTCAGTTTCATTTCCAAAATACGTTCCAACAGATTCAATCATTTCTATGCATATTACAAAAAAAAATTCTGTTGTATTTTTTTTATTCTGCTTTAAAGATGGACGCGATGATGATGATGAATGGACAACCAAAGGACATAATCGTGCTTACGCCACTGCCGCTTTAGCTGAACAAAATGCTGTAATTACTTCAACTACTTATGACCATATTGTGCCAACTTATGCTGTTGTCGACAAGAAATCACAAAGTCATTTGCAACTACTGCAGCAGCAACAGCAACATCATGGACAATATGTCCAATATAGCACACTGATACCAGCTAGCAAAATTGCAGCTTATCCTGCTCAACAGCCACAGCCACAGAATAAGGTAAGTTTCGGTGAGGCTCGAAGCCTAGAATAATTTCAAACTTGCAGTTCGTTAAACAATAATTATTTATTATACACAGAAAACCATTGTGAAATGGTTGGAAGACAGTTGCCTTTTGAAATGACATATTAATACACTTAAAACGTTTAAAAAATAATAAATCTCTTCCAACTAAAATATTTAACTACCAAACAAAACTTAATTGGACTAATTTGTGAAACAAACAATATGTAGTTGAAGTTGAAGGACATGTAGAAGATAGATTAGAAGATGAAGTAGATCTTGTTATGCTGTTGGATATTAGCTGAACAAATTTTATGCAGTGGTTTAACTGTTTTCTTATTACTATTATTTGAAAGCTATAACTTTTTAAAAGGAGGAAATATGTAAAGATTTAAAGACTTAAAATTTCCTATAACGATATGGCGATCATGATATCATGATATGACGATCACGTTATGGTATGACGATCCTGCCATGTTATGGTGACCCTACCATGGTATGGTAATCGTGCCATGATATGCCGATCCTGCCATGATATGACGATCCTGCCATGATATGGTGATCCTACCATGATATGGTGATCCTACCATGATATGATGATCCTACCATGATATGGTGTTCGTGCCATGATTTGATGATCCTGCGGTAATATGGCGATCCTGCCTGATATGGCGATAGTACCATGATATTGCGATTCTGCCATGATATGTCGGACCTACCATACTGTGGCGATCTTGTGTTTATATTGCAATCCTGCCTGAGTATGGTGATACTATCACTATATAGTGATTCTGCCATTATATGGCGATTCTGTCATTATACGGCGATCCTGCTATGATATGGCGATTCTGCCATGATATGGCGATTCTGTCATGATACGGCGATCCTGCTATGATATGGCGATTCTGCCATAATATAGTGAACCTGCCATGATATGTCGGACCTGTCTAACTATAGCGATCCATTCTTAATGTTGTAATATTGCCTGAGTATGATGATACTATCACAATATGGCAATCCTGCCAAAATTAACTTTTAATCGTAGAATAATTTATAATTTCTAAATTATAAATAAATTTTTTTTTAGTCTGATTATACTAATATTGATAAATATATGTTTAATTTAAACTTAATTTTAGTATAGCAAAAGAAAACTGCATACTATTATAGAAGTCTCATATTTTGATAAGATTTTGGTTATATATATATGTAGGCGGCAATACTAAGCAGTAGTAAGAAGTCATAATTCTGGTCAACGTCAGTAAGTTAAGAAATGTCAGAGTGTTACGAAAAGAGTGAGTTATGAGGAGTCGGAGTAGTTGCAACTGGTCTTGCTTGGCAATATGTTAAGGAAACTGACAAATTAAGGGAATTCTGGAGTCGACACCACTTTTTTGTCTTTACTTCAATACATTATAAAATACGATTTATATTTTTAAGTGGAAGAAGCAATTCATAACATTAACAATCTTGCATTTGTGGGCATATTATAAATCATATTTGTATTATGAGATCTATTTTTTGTCATTGTTTTATATTTTAGATATTTCATGCTTGTTAAGAAATCTATTCTATGTATGCTAAAATCCTTTTATGTTTTTTCTGAAAACTCTCTTATTGGAATATGGCAACATAGGCACATATCTAATTAAAAATCTAAAATCAGGAAAAATTACATTCATTTTTCAAGATAAGGGAGTCTTATTATTTGATTAACATGATATTTTTCATTTTGTATTTTTATTGATTAAATTTTTGTAAAAACCCTTCCAGTAATAAATATCATAGCTTTTGTAAAGAAAGAATGTTATATTTCATGCCTATTCGCCTATCACAACTTTGGGATTTCGATATAAAAAATTGCAAATGCGGTATGGGAATTCAAAAGCAAATAAATTCACCACAAGACTAAAATTTAATTAAACTGGCAAAAGAACAACGAGTTCAGTTTGAGAAGTTACACTAAAATATGTAGGCACATAAGTGCACTGATAAACAGACATGCACGGAATATGACGCTCAAATAATGGGAAAAAAATGTTTTAGGAGAGTGAATCTGAAACTAAAAATGTGCAGTTGGAAATGCATTTTAGCTTATCAACACCGAATGCAACAAAGTATACCATTCCTGTGTATCAACACTGCCAGCAATCGCTTCATACCCAGTTCCTTACCTGCACCCGCAATGCAAGCAAACCCATAAATATTAGAGACGAAAATAGCATGTCAGGATATCCGCTTTCTATGCAACACCAAAAATACCAGAACTGATATAGTTTAACGCAAAACTTCAAGTAGTGCTCCTGCAGCTGCCACGGTTGCTACAGTCGCAGTTGCTATTGCAGCTCATCCAGGCAAATGCAAGTTACTGCCACATTCGCAGATAGGATTGTGCACAGCAATGCTGCATACCTTGAATTTTAATTTCCAATGAAACACTTACGAAACTCTGTACACACCGCGCACCACTGCCATGCGCTCCATGGTTCGTTGCGGCGGTTGTGTAAATTATGGCGCTTTTCTAGGGTTAATGTGGTTTATTAAAAAATTTGCGTTGCATTGTTTGCGCCTTCAATGCTGCATTAGGAAATGAGAAAATCGTTGAAATACTTTTAGGTTAAATTTGTGCTATAGCAAGTGGTAGTCAACGGGGCAGGCAGGGCAGACAGGGAAGCAGCATACAAAAATGTTATGTTGTAGATATTCACTTTACACTACTCACTGCACTTTGCTATTGCCAGTTTAAGAGTTGCTGTTGCTGTTGCTGTTGCCGTTACTTTTACTGATGTTGCTGATGCCTCATTGCTGATGTTGCTGTTGTTCATTTTTGCATTAAACGAATTTCGAAGTTATTTATCGTACGTTATTTCCTCGTTTTAGGAGCTTAACTGTCATTTGTAGTGTTTATTATGCCATATATACAAACTGCATTACTGGCTCCATTGAGGAGTGCGCGATTTCGTTATGCCAAAATTGCATAAATTCCTTTAAGTTTGCACTTAAAACTCATAATTAAAAAGTATTCTATTTGACTTACTTGCATCTAAAATTGTTTGCTTATTGTTTTTCAGACTGATTTAACTTATGCCGAAATGGCAGCACCTGGCGGCCAACGTATGACAGCGTACTGCAGTGCTACATTGGGTCGACCCAGACAAGCTGACTTGAAACGTGCTGAACCCAACATATACTCACAGGTAATAGAAATGATTGACGCCGATGTCGATACGGTTTACGTGCACGGATATTCGACAAAAGTTTAACATACACAAATCAAAAATCAAAGAAAAAAACATTTCAGAAAAAGCATTTAGTTAGTTAGTAAAGTTCGGTAAAGTCTTAAAATGTTTTTACCATATGCTTAAAGAGAAGAATTTAAATAAATATTCAATGTGAACAGAAAACGTAAGATAATTTTATGGTTCAATTTTATTTTAATTTTATTTTTATTTAATGTGTTAAAATTTTGCCGGGTTTTAGGTCCTTTTTTTAAAAATTATATATTTATATAATAAATTATATTGTTTAAAAACAAATTTAATATTAAATAAACAATATTAACAACTATGAACCATTCTATGTTCAGGAAAAGAAACTCTATCCGTTGTTATAAACTTCGCAGAGAAAAAAAAGAGAACTCTATTGGAAAAGGTTGCCAAGGCTATCACAATCTAAAATGATTTTAGAGACTTACAACCTAAAATGCTTCAAAGATTGCATAGCAAAATCAAAACAATAACCTAAGAATTATTATGAGATTACTGACCGGTCACTGTAGATTGAATAATCATCTAACGAAGTTAGGAATACAGTCCAAATCAGACTGCAGATAGTATTGAGAAGAGAGAGAGAAACCGCATAACATGTGCTTGGGCTAGTACCTAGCACTAATGCACAAGCGGTAAAAACACCTAGAATGGTATTTTATGGAAAATAGGGATCCAAGACTCAGAAAGATAGGCTCTATACTGTCTTTCATTAGAGAAATCGGACTTGGAGCAACACTTTACCTAATTCGACTAAGGGGCTCAATAGATCTTTTAGGTCGCAGTGCACGATCCCTTTTATTCCATAACAACTGTGATATCTTTTATTTAATATTTAGTTTGTTTTTATATGATATAAGTTATTGTATAAAAATATAATTTTTAAAAACACGACCTAAAGCCCGGCAAAATTTATATACATTAGTAGTGAGGTCGACACTAATATACACATTATTATTTATTTATACAAAAACTTTTCGCAACCAATACTCGACTTATATACTGATGATATCTTTCTTACTCCATAGTAAACGTGGATATCTAAGAAACTTCTGTGATTAAAGTAATTAATGGGCATGACGTGCTTTGCTACTGATTCTCGTAAATTAAAATACAAATTAATAAATTATCACACATACGACTCAATACCCACACATACACACGCACACTACACACAAACATAAACACAATCCAAACCCATACACACAATTAATGACGCATTTGCTAGAACACAAAATCATTTTTGAGTGTTTAAATAGAAATGAAGTGCTAAATTAAAGTAAAGCACGATATCCTGAAAATATAATTTATAAATACGGAATCATGCAAACGTACTGTATCATGCATTCATACTGTACCTACCATTCATTCATACTGTACATAAATTAATTAAGCTACATTGGTAAGCGTTCAGTTTCCGTAAAGCCTTAATTATGCGGAAAAGAACGCAAACGAAAGAGAAACGTGAAAGCGCATAAATAAAATGAAAAATAGTTGGAATTCAAGATACAGAAGAAGCGCTTTATAGTATTGATTATGAATATTGAATTTAATTTAAACGAAAATAAGTAAATATTTTGCGAAAATTAATTAAAGGCAAAGGGCAACCAACATTTCTGTAATTATGAACAAACAGCACATCTTTTTCTTTATTCAATATGTTATTGATTGACGAAGATATATGTTCACAAAGATTTGCATGTCGTTTGTATAATATTTCACACTAATTAAATTGACGCGTATCAACCACATATCATTGATTTCACCAACTAACCGCAATGCATATCAATCATCACAAATTTCAGATTGATCTAGCCCATCATCCTATGTACTCTACTAGTCCCATATTTGGTTCGAACACCATAACTGGCGTTACAATGTCTCATCCATCGCAATTGGCCACATTCGCTACACCACCGCCAATATTTGCGCATAAAGTGGTAACAGCGACCCAATCACAGTCCTTGCCACCCGTTTCGGTGGGTGGTGGCGCAGGTGGAGCAGGTGTTACGGTTAGTAGTACTGGTTTGTTGCAACCGGTACCAGCAGGTGGAATTTTATGCGTTGGCATGCCACCACATTCTGCTGCCGCTTCCATTTTATGTGCGGCACAGCAGCAGCCACAAACGCCGCCACTGGGCACTAGCGGAAATGGAAGTATCGTGGGAATCGGCAACATTGGATATGGTGACTCGGTAAATATTTACTTCAAAAATCATTTTTATTTATTTATTTATTTTGTGTTTCAATTTAACTTGATTTATTGGTTTAATTATAAACACAAAATTTTTGGAAATTTTACACAATTAGTTTTATTTTTATACTAAATATATATACTATATTCGTAGTCCTATTATAAGTTGTGTAGATACTTAATTAATAAAATTTCTAAAATCACCATGAATTTTGTTTTAAAATTTATAATGTTTTTAATAAATTATGTATAAATAAAATAAAATCAAATAAATCAAATAAAATAAAAAAAAAATTAAATAAAATAAAATAAAATAAAATACAACAAAATAAAACAAAATAAAATAAAATAAAATAAAATAAAATAAAATAAAACAAAATCAAATAAAATAAAATCAAATAAAATAAAATAAAATAAAATCAAATCAAATCAAATCAAATCAAATCAAATCAAATCAAATCAAATCAAATCAAATCAAATCAAACAAATCAAAACAATAAGAAATAAATTAATACAAAATAATATTAAATTAAATGAACAAAATTAAAATAAAATATAAAATGAAATAAAGTTATTTAAATAAGATAAAATAAAGTAAAATAAATCAAAACAAAATAAATTCAAGTAAGACAAAATAAAACAAAATAAATAAATTATTATAATATCAAATAAAATAAAATTAATTAAAGTAATATAAAATAATATAATATGAAATAAAATAAAATAAACTAAATTCAAAAACAAAGAAAAAAATTAAGTAAAATAATGTATTACAAAATTAAATAAAATAATATAAAATTATTTAAAATGAAATAAAATCAAGTCAAAACAAAATAAAATTAAAATAAATTGAATAAAATAAAACAAATCAAAACAAAGTAAAACAAGTAAAAATTAAACAAAATGAATGGAAAAAATTTTCTTAATGAAATAAATTAAAAATAATAACATAAGTAAAAATAAATAATTGGTCAGTGTTAATACCTGGTAACTAATGAATATAAAAAATAGTTGATATATTGGAGAACAAAAGTTTCAATAACAAATGTTGTCCAGTTGTCGTGTTTATACATAAATGACTAAGAATTTATTTACCAAAAATAATAATAATAATAATAATAAGAAATAATTTTGAACACTCACAAAGCTGATGTAAAACACTATCGTCACATATTCAATCTTCTAGCATGGGTCCCTAACCTACAGTGACATATCGGCATTATATATTTGAGAGGATTATCGCGCATCTAAACAAATTGGTGGATTCTTTTGGATTTAGAGACAATGATATCCAGTACCTTTGCTCTATCTACAATAGCCTTTTCTTTTTGCATATACATATTTTATGTTACGGTTTACCGGCGATCCTAATAATCCACTTAGACCTATTGACTAATTGTGTTCTAAAAATTGGTAATACTTAAAAAAAACCTTTAAGGCTTAAAGAGCCTCTTCTAATTGTATCTTAATTTGTGGTAGGCAATAAATACACTGTATTTTGTTGTAGGCAATAATATCTTAATTACAGACATAAAATATATACTTTAAATAAGAACCTATAGTAGGAGGACGTGTTCTGATGAATGTCAAATAGGAACAGTACAGATTATTAAATTTGCCATCTTCTTTCTCTAACCTACCACTTCAGAGCTGTTAGCTAAATTTCCTAAATTGTTTGTGTACTTTTAGAACTAGTACTATAATAAAACTGCAATAAATAATATATAATGTGAAGACATTTTTTATGTATTATAATATAATTTCACTCTCTAACAAAATTGCAATAATTAATATTTTGTTTTGTATTGTGAAGACATTTTATATCGTTGGTTGCAATGGCAGGCCATTAGATAACTTAGATAACTTCAATGTTCCTCAATTAAAGTTTTTTCGCCGTTTTGCTACCACAAAACCTAATCCATCTCGTTGAATTTAGATAATTTAATGGGTCATTCGTTTCTACCGAAGAACAGTCTGTTAAACTGTCAAAGAAGTATCTTCCTAAAAACTTATTTTATTTTATATACATTATAGTTTACTATCTAATAAAACTGCAATAATTAATATTGGTTTTGTGATGTGCAGACATATTACATGTATTATAATATAATTAACTATTATTTGCAGAATTCCAACACTGGCCTATTAAAAACTGTTCCCGAGGAAATGGATCATCCGTTTAACGGTGAGAGTGTTTTAATCACAACCGAACGAAATCATGCAACACGTTTCTGACGATAAATGAATAATTCAATCGCAAATGGATTATTAATTAAAAATTCATAAATCGCACTTTGAACAGCAAAATCATATAAAAATTTTAATATAATCACAAAATAAAAAAATCAATATTCTATAATGTAAAATGACTATAATGCTATGTGATTGAGTAAATGCTAAAGAATTTTATTATGAAAACAAAAAGGATTTGAGATGTCCTGACATTAAAAGGACAGAGCCAAGGACATTAAGTATAAATAAAGAAAATAAATGACTGTTCTAAATTGATGCTCTGAAATCTTGAAAGAATTAATAATACTTTTTCAGAATTAATTAATTATATAAAAATTACTAAAAAGTCAAAACAAATCATCAAGAAATAAAATTAAATAAAAGTGAAACTAAAAATTATAAAAATAATTATTACAACTCGTTTAAATGTTGTAAATGTTTTGATGTAATAATTACTAGTTAAGTACTCTCTATGTAAAATAAAAACATTCAAAATTCTTAAAACTCATATATTTAATTAAATGTAAACTCAAAGAGTGAAAACTGAAATTTAATTCAATTTAAATAAATAAGCAAAATACATTAAAAAAACAAAAAATTTAAATAAAACATATTCAAGTAAATAGAATTAAATGAAAAAAATAAATAAAAATAAATTAATTGTTATTACTGATTAGAGGTAAGCTTATTAAATTATTAAATATTAACTAATAAACAAATCGAAAAGATATAAAATTATTTATTGTTGTTAAATTATTTGTACAAACAAAACATGAAAGTGTGAAAAATTTTTCTGTAGCATAAAAACTGTTCAATATTATTTATTTAAATTATTTGTATTTGTTATTACATTTTAAATATAAATAAACTAAATAAAATTTTAGTTATTAGTTTAAATAAACTAAAATAAAATAAAATTCTTTGTAATGATATATAATAGATTTTACAAGAAATGAATTTAAACATTATATTTAGATATTAAAAACTAATAAACAAAAATAATGCAAAATTTAAATTTTATACGTAAAACTTCAAAAAAAAATTATATAAAATAAATGAGTGTATATTAATAATTAAATTTGTAAGCATAAAACTATTTAAAAATTAATTAAATAAAGTGTATTATAGAAAAATTATTTTAGTGTTTTTGTTCAATATTTAAAAGTCAAATAAGTTAGTTCTGCCGAATGTTACCTAGTTATATCCGAAGATAAAGTATTTAAGTTTCGAAATAAATTTTTATGACCCAAAAAAACTCTGTAAATTCAAAACTATTAACTACAATTAAGAATGGTACAAATTCTTAAAATATCTGAACTTGACGTACAACAACAACTCCTCATATAAAGCATATGTGAAACCCAAGAGCTAAAGTGTTGAATCACTAGAACTCTTTCAACTGTTCATCAACAGCAATAGACTCAATATTGAAAATAAAGAGATTACATAGCTTATGACAGAAGAGCCTAATCCATTATTAATAAACTACAAATAATTTATGAATGGTGAAGAATTGGTTTTTTCAGTATTTAATATTTATTATCTTCTTCACCTCTCGATAACAACGTTACATGGAAAATCTTCATAAGGAAAGAAACAAGTAAAAGTCCTCAAACCTTCAAAAATCTTCACCCTTTTATTAAGAACAATAGACTTAATACAGAAGATAGTAACAAAAGAAGAAAAGAAGCAGATCCTTAAACACGCTATACTACATGATTGCAAGGCTTATGAAAATCAAATTGAAACTATAATTAAACAATTATGAACTTACCAAAACAGCTAATTCTTCTGGTATATGAAAATTGTGGTCATACAAGCACATTTGTGCATTGCTCCGATCTACATGAGATCCAAATTGACCGTCATTTATTCTACATAACGGTATTGCCTTAGTAATGATTGCTTCATTATACAACATAACATGGACCTACCAACCGTTGATATATATATTAAGACATATTTATAGAAATTTTTAAAAAAAGTATAGATAACCATTAAAATATAGCCTTTTAATATGCAGACATGCGTATGCTTACCCTATCTTGTAACACTATCTGCTAAAACTTAACTCTTTTTCACTCTACACACTAAAAGGTAAAAGTACTTTATAATACCAATTTAAATCCATATATCATTATTAATAAAATTAAAATAATATTAACACCGATCCTTATTTTATATATTGAATATAAATAAACCGGAGTTGCAGACAGCAATATAGAATGTAGTACCCGACTGCCAATATCATTTTTCATCATGTATATAAGTTTTGGCGTAAGGAAAGAAGAAGACATTGAGTCTACGTTCCATGTAGTCAAAAAAATATTGGCAACCTAGTGGGATATTATCCCTTTTTAAAGCTGATACCGACGGCATATCCTATGTGATGAGGTGTCATAAATTTTCGGCGATTTTTTCAAATACCACTTAACTAACAATATCCCGGTAACAATTACTTTTTTGTAATATATTTATATAGAAACTTACTGAACTGTTAGTATTTCAAATCACTTTGTATTTTTTTACTTTTTTATTTTGATGCACTTTTAAGAGCTACGAATTTTGAAATAGTGAAGATATTTTTAGATATTCCATTAAGTTTTAGTGTTAATGTTCCATTTTCTTGTTTAAGTAATTTCATTACTCATTATATAATTTAAACGACTCTGTTGTTTTGGAGAAAGCTTAAACATATTACTGGTATACTCAATCTCATGCTTAGTGTGTAGAGGAGGCCACAAAGAAGTATATGCAAGAAAACTAAGAAGAAGAAAAAACAATGAATATCATACAATAATCAGCACTAACTAAAATCTCACCTATGGAATCGCGCCATTTCAAATGCATTGGGCATTTGTTCCAGAATTTGTTTTATCTCACTTTGGAATTGTTTTTCATAACGTCGCTTCTGTTCTCGAATTCGATTAAGACAGAACAAGTTACTGCATAAAATAAAAAATATCTCTATAAACTCATACAAGATAATAAAATATAGAATAATATTTACTAGGGCATAGTCACTTTTGAATAACTTGGGTTACGACTTAGATCCGCTTCGTCATTAAACTTTTGTAGACAGATATCAGAAGGAAATTGTATTAATTCTTCCTCTTTCTCTACTTCTTTTTCCTTACTTATGGACTTATAGTTCACATCCTCCTTTGTGCTACTTCTACGATATTTCAAAAATTTAACTTTTGAAAAGAGGGAACTAAATCGTGACTTTCTGTTGAATTCAAAAGAACTGGTTTCCGTTTGTTTTGATTCAGTTTCATCTGAGCTGCTGAGCATACATTGCATATCAGTGAGTTTAGTCATATACGAAGGGGAAGTAGTCCCTTCTCTTGATTTTTGCATAAGTTTTTCATGTAATTCTACAGTCTCCAATAACTTGGTGTAGCTTGGATCGAAAGCCATATCAAACATTTTGGGACATATCGCCGGCAATTGTTTGTATTCCTTCATCAACTGCAATGCGGCTTTAGTAGGCACAACCCTATTATATGTGGTAACTGAACGCTCACGCGATGAACGCTCACGCGTTGAACGCCTATCCAATGAACTTCTATTCCGTGAACGACGCATTTTGAATTTTGCAAGATTTTCAAATTTTTCAAATTGTTATAAAAGTGCAAAATTTATTACAAAAATTATAAAAGTGCAAAAATCTATAAAAATAAAAAATTACAAACAAAAAAAGATTTCTTTTGATTTTTCAATTAATATTTTGTTGATTCATTTTAATAATGTACATTAAAAAATAATTTGATTAAGATTTCAACGATTTAGTTTAAAATTTATTGTTATTTATTGTGTTATATAGAACCATGGCTAAATGAGATAATACCGGAAGCTTTAACTTTTTATGAAAACCTAATACAGGTATTTACCTAATAAACTTTATCATCACATCACTACTTGACGTATAATAACCAGTACGGATGTTTCACATTGTCACATCACATTATTAATGAGATTTTACTAAGTTGAATTAGTTAGTTGTGGTGGAGGAAGGACCAAATCTTCCTCAATAAGCTAAGAAAGACGTTTTGAATCCACGAATCCTTTTTATAATGGTAGTATAGAGTTATTTATAAAGGTAAGAATCTGACCAATGCTAATGCTGGAAATATTACCATGCGTGTTGAAGAAGGGGGCCCCAGTTGAAGTGCGGCCTAATTTCTAGAAGTGATTTCATTAAATAATTTGCTATTATAAGAAATATCTGAATTTTAAAAATTTTAGACATTCTCCAGAAGCATAACAATAAGCTAAGCAGAGCTTTTTACGGTTAGTTCATTTGAAATTAATTTTTGCGTATTTTTCCTAGAACAAACTACTGTCAATAGGACTTTCAAAAAACCCAGTTTTTTCTCGTATCCAAAGCCAGATAGTCAGATAAATTTTATTTGACTGTTTCTTTTTCCTGTAATCTTCCAAAGTTTTTGAAATAAGTTTTCAAAGAAATGTGCAGTTTCTCTAACCACGATTTTGAAATAATATATTAGATTTTTCACAACACTTATAAATTATTTATAATTCTTTAATCTGCAGAATTACTAGGATTAATATCGTCACAGTATTCTCAATAGAAGTCTAAATTATTAATTGGATCTTTTTAATTTTCACAAATTTTTAAATATATTTTGTTTATTTTTTGTGTTACAATCTTTTTTATTTCCAGTAGGTGGAAAGCATTGAAAGCCATAGTGTAAGACTTGAATCCAATTAAACGTACTCGTAGGAATGTGTTGAGTGGATGCCAATCATCTGACTGTAAAAGACTTCCAGCTGAAACTGCACTGCAGTAATCAAAGCATAAAATATAAGAAGCTTAATATTTGAAATTCTAAATCTATACATGGTGGGACAGCGCACTGTCCAACAAGTGGCCGCACTGAAGTGAAGGATTAGTCGATGTAGACCACGAAACTACTTGGGTCCTTTTTCATCCTTCGATTCTTGGATGTTGTTATTGAGTTAAAGCTGGGGTGGCTTCCGTTCGCATAACAACATCTTTTGTTAATACAAGCAGCTCATTTAGCTTGAGATTTCCTGCCAAGTCATCACCAACCCAATGGTGTCCCAAGACAGTCTTCCTCCTACTTGCCAGTGCTGGACATTGGCACAATATATGCACCGCTGTTTCCTTTTCTTCTAGACATAGTCTTCCTCAGCAAGAGTTATATTTTTGAGATGATACTTGATGTTGCCATGTCAGTAATTAGTGAGGTCAGCCAGCTTAGAGTGCTCCGCGAATAGCTAAGCACTTTTATCGCTTCCCTGGCCCACGGTATCGGCAGCATGAGTTTGGTCTGTCTGCAATTGCTCAACTCTCTCCATCTATTAAGATGAAGTGAGGTTATCCACTTATAGACATAGGCTGCCGTCATGTTGTAACTTAGTGGTATTCTGGGCTCTGAGCCACAGAAATTATGGCTTGATCCGTGCTTTGCAAGTTCATCTGCCGTCTCGTTTTGCTCAATACCGATGTGTCCTTTAACCCACATGATCGTCACCTCAATCTAACTAAAGTAGAAGTGAAAACGGCGTGTTCATTATGGGTAATGATGGGTATTTACAAAAGATTGAGTCTATAAAAGTATACTTTATGGAGCAGCTTGCTGTATCCGCGATTCAACAACGGAATTATTTGAACAGAATTATTCATTTCGTTGAAATAGAGGTCTGGGAAATGAGGAAGCATATGTGAAAGAAGTTTTAGAAGACGCTAATATCTAATATATTTGTTTGTTTCAGAACACTTTTGTCTATTTTTAGTGCTGTTAGCAAACTAATTTTTTGTTTTTGATTTTGTTTTTGTAAAATTCATTTTATATTAGGTTATTCCAACTGTTCATTCTTCTAGATTTAAGGATCATATCAAATAAGCATACCACATATAATCTTATTACTATATCCAAAAAGTTCAAAAATACAATAGTAGTAAAAGTACAATTTTGACAATTGTCATGACCAATAATAGCGTAAATTTGCCATGATCATTCACTTTTTTACCTTTATCGTTTATTTTTGGTGGTGTTAACTAGCACTAAATTTCTTTTTTATACTCTTTTTCTGAAAGTAATTTTGTGTTTGTCTTTACTATTTTACTATTTACTATTCCCATTTTAAGTATTATTATATTACTATGTATTTATATATAAGTATAAGCTAATTAGGGAATTAAGCGCTTAGATGGTGTGATGAGGTTTACTTCATAAATGATATGAATTCACTTCACTAATAACTTGACTTCACTTACTCAATTCCCTTAGGGCAGCAATAATTGTTTCAGTAAAAATTGTTAAAGATTTTTTTTACTTTATAAGCATCTTTTGAACAGATTGATAATCACCAATCTAATTACTCTTTAATTACTCTAATCTAATTAGTACTTTACTATTCACTCTTTTCTATACTGAATTGTAAAAAATTCTATTGTACAACAATTTAGTCTTCTTCTGAAGTCAGAATTCAAGAACTAATTAAATATGTTAGGAAATTGTTATTATCCTATAAAAAGAAAACTTTATTAATATTTTATATTTACATAATTTATTTGGTTAGTTCAAAGAATGATTAGTTAAATATTCCATTGAATTAAAAAATATTAAATTCTGACAACGATTCTACACATTTACTTCCTTTTTTGACTAAACTATATATAAAGTATTCAAGAGGTAAGTAATTAAGAGAAGTCCTTAATATATAAATAAATAAATAGTTAATAATAAAGAAGCTATTAAAACAAAAAATATCAAAAAAAGAAGTAAGATAAATTGAATGAATTATTTATTTTTATCTAAAAAATCACTTGAATAATTTAATATTTAAATTAAAATTTTTAATTATGTTAAATAATGTTTTCTAAATGCTTTTATAGAAAGCATATTTTATTTATTTTAAAAATTCAAATATTTTATTGTATTTGAATGTCAATTTAGTTAAAATTCTGGACATTAAGTTCAAATTTCCTCATTATTTATGTGGTGTTAGTGTTAAAGAGCAACGCCCAATTAAAATCTAAATAAATTACATTTTAAAAATTAATTTTATTCTAAACCCAGTGTATAAAAAAGAATTTAATTAATTAAACATATTTTAGAAACCTAAATAATTAGAAAAAACTGAAAATATGTGCTAAATTATAAATTAATTAAAAATAACTAAAAATGAAATATAATAAGTTAATTAAAAATAAGAATAGTATAAAGCATTTCACTTCAAAATAAAGACAAATTCAATATTACTTAATTAATAGATAAATTATTTTCTTATAAGTATCAAATTTTCTTACTGAAGTTAAGCTGGTTGACTGAAGTTGCCACAGACCTACTCGATAAGTGTCGTTAACCTAGACATTAATTATGAATCTAAACATATACGACAAATGTGTCACTAATATATTAAAAAAGGCCATTCAACCTAGTACGGCCATCATGAATAAAATTTAACCCATCGAAAAGAAGTAAAGTAGGTGGCAGCGTAGGCAGTGGAATTTTTGTGTAAAGACTCAATAAGTCTATTTATTATAGGCTTTCTGAGCATCGAAGTCTTTTTCAGGTGAAAGAAATACCTATTAGGGAAGCAATAGCTTTTCTGAAAGTGGATAACGTATTTAACAGAAATATATATCCGTGCTATCAGATTGTCATGCTGCTTCAAAGTTCTTAAGTTCAGTCCTACTTACAACCAGGATGGTTTTTAATTGTTACACATCTCTAAACGAGATGTCGATGCAGTTTAAGATTTCTCTACTCTCGGTTCCCGGTCATAGGGATTTTTTCGGCAAATGCAAGGTAAGCAAGCTGGTCAGATAGGGTGCTTCAAGTAATCACTCAGAACTTTTAAAAAATCTGGGCTTTTTATTGACATCATGCAAACTTTTGTTAAATTTTTTCTATGCTCAACTTTTTAATAAAAAATGAGAAGACTCAACGATATGTAGCAAACTGTATGCAATTGGCCAAATTCTGTTCACAAAAATTTAAATAATCTCATACAAAAGTCTTATAGTAGATTTACTCCACAAGAGCGACGGGTTTCCAAAACGAGTTATAGCCGATTTAGAAAAGCATGCTAGAAGACTGAATCTCTCCTTAAATCAGAGATTCAGTTTTGGACAGGACGACGAAAGTGCCCCACACTTTCATGTGTTTCTTTATTTGATGCTTAAAATCCACTTAGAAACTTTTGCAAAGCTTAAATTTCTTTTTATTGGGAAAGCCTGGTGTTGGCCAAGATTCTTACGGCGCCATTTTACTATATTAGGGGTTTCTTTTCTTAAGGATCTTGGCAACTTCAGGCCCTCCCATTAAAAAGCATTTTAAGTTTTGTCAAAGTTTCAAGATTGTTTTTCAAGCTCAAATTTTCTTTATACGATAACACAATGGTCCTATAATATAACCCAACTTAACCTTAGACTAACTTATTCTATAGAACTACTACAATAGACAATAGTACTATCTACTATCTACTAGTACTATCTACTATTGTCTACAGTGTAACGAGATTTTTTTAATGTTCTGTTTTTTGTTTCACGGTATTCTTTCACACCAATTTATCTGCTTCACTGTTACGAAGAATGTCTTTATGTCCAAGCATTTAGACATCCTACAAATATTTAGACATGTAGGATAGTGTAGTGCCATATCTGATACGAACTCAAA